CACCCAACTCGCTTCATCTGATAAGCACACACTTTGGTTAGTGCAAATCTACCCTACCTTGTATTAATGTAGCCTGGCTGCATCAAGCACCTCACCCTTCCTGGAACCCCAACACACATTGCTTTGCAGGAAGGATATTTTGGTTATCCGTGCACTTGAGTTTCTCAGTGCTTTCTGATTTCTATTTAAAAATACAGCTTGCTAAAACCACCCAGGCTTAGACCCTAGCAGCCAGGACTGAGTTCTTAATAAAAGTGCAAAGTGAATGTGATGTACTGGTCATAGCTAAGGGAGTGAAGCACAAAGCCACTCTTTCTAATTGTGGCTTTCTAGAGTACTTAAAAAAGGGAGTCAACAAGGCTGCATTGGGTAAATTCAAGCTTCCTCAGGTTGCCTGGCTTTGGCCTGGAGGTTTTTTTTTGTTTTTTTTATTATTTCTGTTTAACAAAAGTTAGAATAGTTTGAGAATGGTTCCTAAACTTGCCAAAAGTTGCAGAGTAGAAGACACTGCTGCGTGGTAAATGGATGCATGGAGAAACCAGTTCATAGATAAAAGATCATCGACCCAGGACTACACAGGCATTACAGATTCTTGGGGAGAAATCTACCTTTCATCATACAAGAATTTCTAGTTTGCTTTCAGCCATATATAACATGGCTTATATTCTTCTCCACATTCGGCAGCACTGCAACCTTAACATTACATCCATGAAAATATTTTGCCTGCATTACATCTTTAAATGGAGTCATGTTATGTACCATTTCTATTCTAGAGGCTTCACCCATGTCAGAGCTCCTCAGATATTTCAGGAAATAAGCCCCACCTGGTAGAATTTATAATTCTGCCAATTCACTCATTAACAAGACAAGCATGACTAGCAGCAGAGATCTGTAAACAGTTGTGCATCTGGTTTATGGAACCATGGTTTCTGCATTTCCTGGCTGTGTGATTTCAACAGCCATAATGTTGTATTATTGTAATGGGATTATGAATTATTGGTAAACAAAGTGCTTGAACAAAGGGATTCCTAAACGTCACAAACCTTTACATATAATGTGCATGTCCTGTTGAAATCACAAGTCATGCATGCATGAGTAATATGCAACATGTTAATAGCCCACTACAGGAAGCCCTGAGATCACAGAAATTAGAGAAATGAAAACCCATTAAGAGACTTGGTTGTCGTCATCCTCCTCCATCCCCCACAACTGGACCAATTAGAAAATGTGTGCTCTGAGATTTCACATGCTCTCAAGGTGCAATACAATTCTAGCTTCCCTCACTACAGATGCACTGCACAGAGGAGCAGTTTGACATGCTGCCCTTAATTCATTTTAATCGCTAGTACTGAAATTATAACTTCAGACAAAAGCTCTGCCAACTGAACTCCAGCAGAAGTCATCTGAGACAAGGCAAACATAAAACCCTCCACAGACAAGCAGGACTAAAGGGCAATTCAGAAACAATAGAAACCTTTTCTCAATACCCAGCATGCTAATAGCAAGAAGGACACCTTGGAGTCCTCAGAGGCCTGAGCTTTAACAAAGCTGCTCCCTCAGGCTTCCCCAGTGCCTTTGAAAAGAAAAATCAGCCTCAAAATACCCAACAGGAGTCATAGGCTGTTACCTGTCAGGTAGTCTGAGGTTACCATTTCCTCAAGTAATACTGACCAAGCTCATACCAGTAGTATGATCTTATATATGAAAGAGGGGTAAATCTCCATCACTGCTTATTTAGTTTTCCCACTGCCCGAGAATACTTTCTAGTCTAAGTATTTGGCTGCTTTCTGTGCGTACTAACATGCACTTCTTTGACACAACACACTCAAGAGCTCTGCACAGCGATAGCTACGCTTAGAATAATAATTGCATAGTAGTTCCAGATTTGGGACCAAAACTGGCACCAGTACTACAGCACTAGCTTTTCAGATTCTTATTGTGGTTGTTACTCCACCTACGCTATCATCACTCCTCCTCCTCTCCCCAAACAGTTCTCCAGATCAAAACAAAGAAAGGCTTGTATCTCCTGGCATGTTTGTTTTAACGAGCTCCATGAATCGATCCCAAATTCATTTTCACCCATTGAGTCAAGGCTCAGAAAAAAAAAAAAGCATGTCAAGTAATTGTTTCCACATTTGCTCATTTCTAAACACTAGACAACCACAAACCGTTAGAGACTCCACCACACACTACACAGCACCAACGATCCAATAATTAGTTTCATAAATGGCTTTATAGTCTGCCACAGAATTTTAAATCCAGTGCAGATTGAACAGATTGTAGCCACACTCTCCCAGACCCTGCTCAAGATAAACCATTAGAACAGTCATATGTGAACTCTCAGTCCTGCACTTAGAAGTGGCAAGTCTGCTCATGCCGACAACCCTGGGATGGAAAGTGAGATGGAAAACAGATGGACATGGAGTACCTGGTGCTAAACCTGGGGTGGGCAATTATTTCAGCTGGAGGGCAGCTTAATGAGTTTTGGTCAGCTCTCGAAGGCTGCACACACTCTTTCAGAAGATCTCATTTTAACAAATTACACACAAAAACAAAGCATATATTAAAAATCAAACATCTACTGTAGCATTTTAATTCTATTGCAAAAAATACTTTTTGTGCTGATTTGTTGGGGGGTTTTTAATAGTGTGTGTGTGTGTGTATACACACATACATATATATATAGGGGATTGCATAATAGCTCAAAATAAAGTCTTACGCTTGCATTTTGCATGGGGGGATGGTGGGGTTGCCCACACACTAAGTCCCAAGGACCAGTGAGGGGGAGGGAAGAAGGGAAGGGGGTGCATGCACCAGAGCTTGCCCAGGCGCTGCAGATGCAGTCCGTACCCCCTCCCCTCTCATCTGGTCCATGGCTGCCTCCACAGCACTCCACATGGAGCCGAGTACCAACCATTCCTGCTTGCACTGCGCTCCCACCCACCCCCACCCCAGCTGGCATGCACAGCTTCCTGGTGGGGCTGCTCCCAGTGCAGCTGCAGCCACCCAGGTACTGAACAGCTCTCCCCCATCTCCAGCAGCTCCTCCTCCCCCTCTGCCCCTGCTGTGATGCTCTGGGTTAGGGGGAAGCTGCAGCCAGGCAGTTCCTGCCTCAGCACGTGGGGCTCCAGCTCCCAGCTACCTTCCACCCACTCCACCTGCCCAGTATGATGAGCAGACACCTGGAAGCAGCCAAGTGGATGGGAGGCAGCCAGGAGTTGGAGCCATGCATGCTGGGGTAGTAGCTGCCCAGCTCCAGCTTTCCCCCACTTAGCTGGGCATCTGCTGCCCAGCATGCATCCCCCAGCTTCTCCGCAGTGCCTGCTGTACAGAGTCGTGCAGCAGGGACAGGAGGTTGGAGATGGTGGGGAATCCAAATACCACCCAGGCAGCTGCAGCCGCACTGGGAGCAGCCCCACTGAGAAGCTGCGCGTGCTGGCCAGGGCCAGCAGGAGCACAGTTCTGGCTGCCCTCAGCAGGAACAGGCAGCACTTACCCCATGCAGGGCACTGTGGGCTGGATACAAATCAGTCAATCTGCAGGCGCTCCAGTCAGTTGAAGGACCAGATCCAGCCCATGGCCCATATTTTGCCCACCTCTGAGCTAAACACTGCCCTGCCAGAAGTGAAAAAATAGTGGAAAGGGAGAACCAAAAAAGAAAAAACAAACAAACAAACAAACAAACAACAATCCTACAGCTCAAGACAACTACTCCGACAGACATCAAGCAACAGCAAAGAGTGCTTTAATGAATGAATATACATTCCCCTCCACAAACCATGAGGCTTCCAACAAAACCACAGCTCTAAGTGTGGTTGAAGAATAACTTTTAGAAGTTGCTGGGAAAGTCATAAAATCAATAAACACTAAAAATTATTTTGAAGCATTAGGAATTTGAGCAATGGATCTATTCAAAATACAAGGTCTAGTGTCACATCTTTTTAGACCATTTTTCAAGCAGAGTATCCTTTTTCAGACCGAGTATCTCAGGGCACATCTCAAAGACAGGGACACAAGCATCAGTCACTAATCTTTATTTGCTTATGCAGCTATTTCTCTCCAATGGGAATTCTGAGACAAACTGCAAAAGTGATCAGTGATTTTCAGCATCTCATTTTTTGGCTACTGAAATGAAAACAGAGAAAGGGAGAGAGATGGGGAGGGAAAGTAGTGGGAGGACTGATTTGTCAGAAGGGCTGTTCAGCAGTTCCTGGAAAAAAAAAAAATATCAGGCTTTTTAAAAGTATACTCAGGCACCCCAAAACACTGATTTTTGAAAGTTCACTTCTCAGACCATATCATCTTTGCCCAAGAGTTACTATAGTATATAAATTACCTTCTAGTTACCAGGGAAGGGCTTAGCAGTCTCCTGACTTCCATGAGCACAAATGGATAGTATAATGCTTTATGACAGCTGTAGAACATAATGAAACATCACTGAAGAAATACTGCTAACAAGAAATCATATTAACTTAGTCGAGTGCACATCCTTGTCAACTCATGAGAGACAAGTGCACATATCCACCCCACTCCCCAGCTCCCAAAATAACCATCTCTCTCTAGACAGGTCTGTAGAAGTTTTTAATAAAGTAGTACATGAATAATGACCGTTTAGCTCATTTCACCTTCAACTTCACTTTGGCAACTTCTGTATTAATGAAGCCTCACAATATCATGCCTTTTTAGCACCAGTTTAACACCACTTAATACAAGCCAAATACACATCCCTTTGAAGAAAATTGTTTGCTAAAGCTGTCCTGATTAAGAAGACAGGAGCTCAGTGGAATTTTCTAAAGCACCTAAGCAGGTTAGGTGCCTAAGTTCAAAGTCAATTTTTAAGTTGATTTAAGCTACTTCAGTGTAGTTTGTGTACAGACCAGCCATGGAAAAAAGCTTCTTTCTTCATGATAAATATTTTGAGTCTTTAATACATGTTCTATATACGACTTGGTTATTAAATAGCAAGCTTATTTAAATGAAAGGATAAAACACAAAAAATGTTTAATGTTCATTCAATTTATTAAAAAAAAAATCCAAGGAAAATTTAGTGTTATGATATACATTAAAAAAGTTCAGTACATACCAGCAGTCACTTGGCTGAGCAATGAAAATGCCTTAGATAGAAAACTGTGCAGCCATACTTGAAGACAAGTCTTTATAGATACCCAAAAAAGTGATTTGGCATGCAGGGTGTTTACGTATTTTTAAGGCACTATAGTTGGTTTAGAAAAAGTCAGCCTCTCTATCATCATGGTGTAGCATCAGTATTTTGAACCTTTTGTTTTACTTTATGCACATACAAGCCACAAGAGATGATGCTACAAGAGTAAACAAAAGCACAACTTACACAGATGGCCCAGGTGTATCATTATATATGAGACAAAAAAAGTTATGATAAACTAGTAATTAGGTATATAATGGTTCAACTAAGAGAGCAAATAAAAGCTAGGATAGTGTGCAAACAAATACACATTTACTGTAAACAGTTCACAAAATCTTTCGGCATTAAATGACATGACCTAGCTGAAACGTGGTACATCATCTTATACCCATTCACAATGACTAATACAAGTAGTGCAGGACATTTTTGGATAAAAAGATAAAAAATTAGGGTGTATTATCCTTCCTATAAGTATGAAGACATTATTACCAAGAAAAAAAACAAAAGATACATAGATCATGATTAGGGTTGGACAGAGATAGGTATAAAAAGTTGTTGCACAATATGATCTTCAAAACTCATTTTGCAGGTCTTGCTTGATCCGCAGCATCCAGCATTTCATTTGAGTGTTATCACTGGTTCATTATTGTCAAAAAGAATAAAGCACCCATCCATTTAAGAGAACTGTATACCACTGTGGGTGAAAGAAAATAAGAGTGTATTAGGAAAGACAATAAAAGAATAAATATTTCAGCTACTCAAAAAGCTGGGTTTTTTTGCTATTTTCAAGCAATCCTGGTATAGTACAACCCAGAAACCAACACAGTTACTCACCACACTGCATACACCCCCATGTCAGAGCCAGAATGAATAGAGTAACTCACTAAAATTAGTGGGTATTGTGTTTGCTCACTCCTGGATTGAGTTTGGCTCAAATATCTAATACACTCAAATCTTTACTAAGAGCAGAGGACAGAGAATTTATTTTTAGTTATGTATTTTCTCACACACCCACACTCCCATCAGCCCGTAAGACAACTTATATTGAGTATGAAGTGTCTGCAGCAGCAATGTGCAGTTGGATTTCTTTTTAAGAAGCTAAATGCAACTACTTATCTATTTGAGGTTAAAAGAAAACAAGTTTTGTACTATTCATAAGGTGTATGCTTAACTGGAAAAGAAAGATTTTTCTGAGTCCATCTGAACTGCTCATATAGTAAGAGATATTGGTCTACAGTTCCAAAATTAAAATTTGGGCTTTTGGCTATCTCCACATTTGGACAATGATCTGCAGCTCCATAAAGAAGCCCGGTTTTATGAGGATGGATGCTCAACACTTCCTGAAAAAAAAATCAGGCATCTTAAAAAGGTATCTCAAATTTGAATCCAAATTTAAAATACCCAAAATCTGTAGCCACTAAGCTCCTGGGTCATAAACAAATGAGTTGCTTTTATCCAGTCCTTTATCTGAAGAACACATAAAAAGGAAACAGTAAGACTGCCACATCAAGGAAATCAAACACCTAAAATAGTACACCCTCACTGATCCAAAGTAGCATCCCCCATGAGTATCACATGGAATGGAAAGCAAAACTAGAAAACAGCCAAGTTCCTCTGCTCTTTGCAGTTCTCATCGTGCACATCTTGTGTAGCTAACAAGTCATCCTTCATTTTAAGCTGGTCATCATTTCACAGAAACAAGCCAGCACCGGGCTTCTAAAAAGTCAGAGATCATGGGCAGCTGACTGCAAACTCCAGCTATTACACTAAAACAAGATTCCAACTTGAAAAGAGAAATTTTAAACTTCTACAGCTGTGCAGCTGCCTGGTGGGTAGAAGAGAAGTGTGGCCATTATGGAAAATATCCCAAATGGAGATGGGAATTGATATTTCAGATTCAGGAAAAGGGCTGGAGTTTCAAATACGTCCAAAGGATCCGATTATCTTACAGAGTTAAGCAAACCCAAGTTGTTACAAATGTTACCAATCTGATTTTCATTGTTCATTTTATAATTATAAACCCCTTTTAGAGGAACAGCCAAAGTTCACCTCGCATTCACTGTGTGGATTCATTTCACTGGCATTTCCTTCTCCCTCTGCTGAGAAAACACATTTTACTCTTGGCATCTGTTATATTCTCATCACTCCCTTGTACAAATCTGATGCCTGGTTTTGCTGCTCTGATCAGTAAGTCTGCCATATTTTCCTGAATTTGACCCCAAAGTGGTTAAATAACTTTAATACCTCTGTCATACAAAAAAATTTAATGTAGTAAGTTTTTCTAGTGTAATGCCATACAATAAATCTCACTTAGCCAGGGGTTGCTGGCTGCTACGTGCCAATGCCCGTGCCCATATACTGGCATTCAGAAAGCTATCACCCCCACATTAACAGCCCTAATTTCTGTAAGAAGTTCCAGGGAACCTATAATTAGTGCATTCTGACACAGACTACACCGCATCCAACAACAGGGTGTCCTGCCCTGTAGCACAATGGAAGGACAATGACTACATACTGACTCAAGCATAGTGGGTCACTTTGGGGTTGGCGATTCAGGAAAATCTCATATCATCTCAGTAAGATAACCCACTGAGGCTTAATTCATTCAGTCAGAACCTGCTCTGGTCTTATGACAAGATCATAGCTTGAAACAGTATGCCCTCAGGACCTTTCTAAATAATTTTGACTCAATACCCCTCAAAGGATCACACCATAAAACAATTCTTATTAGGCAACCTGAAAATTTCACCAAAGGAAAAGTAATAAGCTAAGATCACAACTCATCAAGGATGTTTGCCCATAACTCCCTCCAACAATAACAAAGAAGACACTCTTCCTCCACCATGTAATCCTTAAGGTAAGAAAACTGCTTTATAAGCCAAGTCCTTTTCCTCTCTCTGATCCCAGCTGCCTTTTTTCAAGAATTTTTTTTGGTCATTGCTGCTGCATTCATATAATTAGCATTAGTGGAAATTTGGGAATATGCCATACTTCTGAATGGCCCTAGGCATGAGAATTTAAATCACTAAGACATTCTCTACTCGGAGACACAGCAGTAGGAAAAGTTTGCTTCAACTCGAAAAGGAAGTTAATTTTGCACTTTGTATTTCACTGGCTACTTTTGACTTGCACATGCTAAATATTTTGGAAGTTCCTGTTATTTCACCATCCTAGTCAATCTCTCTGCTTCAAGTTTGTTCCATTTTGTGTTCCGTTCTGCTGATCTGCAAAAGAATCTTTTATTTTCCCCATATTACCTTTCATTAGTTAAGTATCTGGAACTGGTCCAGATGCCGTCAAACTTCCTTTTATTGCGTTTTATCAGTAAAATGAGTATGCTTACTGCTGGTCTGCCTACTGAAGTCACATTCCTCTGCGTTATAAGACTACAGCTGTTCTGAAAATGCTGTTTTAAGAAGATATGAATCCTTGGTTTTACCCCAAATCCCTGCTGCTATTTTATAAACTGGATTGACCCTAGCAATCCACTCCTCAGGCTCCCTATTACTTAAGGAATCTCAGTAGTAAGCACCTCTTCTCCAACCCCCACACCCTGCACCGTGCACTGGTGATAAGTTGCACAGTTGGACATGCTGAACATTTTTCATCATAGCATAGTCCAGACTGTCAGAGAGAAAACAGACTGGTGCACTTGGACAAGAGAAGAAAGAATGTAATTACTCCTTGTGGGGTCTATTTCCAAGTGCATATGTGTGAGGTACTGTACAAAGGAGGTTCACTTTAGACCTCTAAGTATTATTGAAAAATAAATATTTCTCCCTCTCCATTAACAACTCATATTAAATTGGAGTTTTGCAGACAGCCATTAGAAGCTTTTAGAACTCCAAAAGGAAAAAAAAGTTTGAACTTGATAACTAAAGATGTTGTTTTAAACTCAAGTTCATAACATTGCAACAAAATAAAAAACCCTGACATTTCCTACAATGCGCCAATGTTTAAGATCGTGTAATCAAGGCTTTTTAACGTGAAACAATCATCTGATGCAATGGGTAGTTTTTCTGATGTGGGATCACTCAGTGAAATCAAGCTTTCATTTTTTGACTGACAGAATAGCTGATGCCGAGATACAGGGCATGTAATTATATGGAATTATTACATAGGAATGCATCTGCACTGTTGAAAAAAATCATTCCATCTTCTTTTTTCCATCATTCCAAACACTTCAACCAAAATGCTGCAGTTCTTTTCATGCAAAGAAATCAGAAGTCCAGCACTTCAAAACTTCCTTTGTTCCAGAGCAAAGCCGTAAATATTTTGGTTTATGCTCCCAATGCATACGTAACCCCACTGGACAGGCTAAAAATGGCTTCTCAATAATAAACTGAATCCTCCAAATTTTTAAGAACCACTACACTGAACAGATAAGTCTATAAAAGTACAGGGCGTTTTCCCATTCCTGCTTCTGCTGACCTCAAAAGAGCGCTGAAAGGTTAGACTGAATGGAAATGGAGTTTTGAAGAGTCAGAGATCTGAAGTTATATAGTTAAATGAACACACTGTAGGAGAGAAATAGCAGAATGTTTTTTCCTGGTACAGAATTTCCCAAAGCAGCACTGAATTCCTGGGAACTCAGCATACCAAAAGCTTCAAGAAACAAGGAAAAAGCAGAGTTTTGCAGGCTTCAATAATATTTTAGGTTTACTTAGCACTTAAGTGAAGAATAACTTCTATGTAGTGTCTCAACGGTTTTCACAGTGTTCTCATGGGAAACCAAATAATTCACCCAAGGCCACAAAGAGAATTTCAGGAAGAGCTAGGATTAGAGTAAGAGCACATGATGCTTGAAGTCCCAGCTACATTCAATAAATGCAACTGGTCTACCAATCTGCAGCCATACAAGTGGCTGAGTTTTGGAATTCTATTTTTATCTCAACAGGCCTACATAGACCAGTTTTATATTCCTCACCTCAAGTATTAATAGTTTTCTAAAAAAAAAAACAAATCCACAATCCTCTAAGCACTTCATAAACAGTACAGAACTTCAAGCTGCATAATGACTTTCATACCAGGAGTTTAATGTTTTACCAATCTTGAGCCTTAACAGCCTTGCAAAATAAGCAACTATTCCTATTTTACAGTGGGTAAAGTTATGTCACTTACTGAAGTTCTTACAGATCCCTGAAGACACCTTGCTGTTCAAATTAATTGCAAGGCCTGACCACCGCTTGGTGTGTAAAGGGAACATGAACCACCAAGTTCTGTATTTTAGAAAGACAGATATTCTCTTACTGGCAAGCAGAAAGCAATAGTTTTTGCAACACCTTAACTTCTACATGTAAAGCTGCAAATCAGTCAACAAAACTTGTATAAATGACAGGCTGACGCACCTTTCCAAGTTGAGGAAAGCCAAAAGGACAGGAGGAGAATGGTGCAGCCTTAGCCTGTCTATCCTAGCATAAAAAAACATCCACAGGCTGTGCCAGGTGGTTGTTCCAAATACTAAAAATTTGCCTAAGCTTCACATTCCCTAAGCTTTGGACTTCAGCTGCCAAAAACTACAGCACGATACATTCTTCCTCAGATGACATTTCTCATCACATCAATTCGGTATCAGACATCACTTGGAAGACTGGTTGCTAGGAGAATGCACTGCATTTACATTAAAAAAGAAAGAAAATTATGTTCATCCATTTGTAGTAAGAACTAGTTATTTTCTGTCAGTGTGTTATGCTC